GGCTATCTCACAATGGAATTGAGTTAGTATAGAATCATATTTAAATTAAAATTATCTCAATGTCATACCCAATAAATTGTCACTGTCTTAAAAAGTTGCATTTCTAGAAGCTTCTTATATTAAATGAAAATATTTACATTCCTGAAAGATTTCTTTTCAAAAAAGTCAGTTTCAGTATCATTTCATATCTTAAGCAGTTTTAGTATAACAAATTTCTTTTCACAGATATTTACCTGGATACACAGTTGGCACATGGACAAAAATATAAACTATTCACTAGAAATTTTTATTTTTTTGGTGGCTCACTATGTGTGTACAAATAGAAAAACCAAAAATGTGTGTATTGTGCGTGAGTTTGTACATAACACATGATTAACTTAATATATTTAAAAATAAAATGCAGGTATTTTAGGCAATCATCCCTTTCTATGGGAAATTCTGTATATTCCAAGAACAAGTGACTTATCCCTAATTTCAATAAACTGTCTTCTCAGATATTATAATTAGTCTTTAAATCAGTTCTGTTTTCTGTGATTGGTTAGACTAGGGTTTGCAGTATAACACTGTTGCAGCTTTTGCTTTTTCTCTCTATAATTTTCTCTGACAGGTCCCGAGGTTGCTCATGATTGTTATCTTTTTACTATAATTTGGACACCGACACTGTCTGTGTCCTACAAACATGACTTTATTTAGATGGACACACTTGCTGTTTGTGAAGCGAGTGCTAATATACTCCATAGAAACTTTGGTCAATTTCAGCTAATATTTATGTCTGTGTCATGGGCATTTGGTCATGAAATTATACTAACCCGCAGACTGCTTTTGAATGAAGATTTTCCAGAATGACTATATAAAACGTGTATTGAGAAATTTTTCATTCATTATGCTATTATGTTTTCATTTTATAATTCTGACATTTAAGGTTTTACTTGTCTCTAAACCAAATATGTGATTATGTTATATATAACCCAATACGTGTGTATACCATTTTACATTACATGAATATCTGTTGTTGCATCTTCCTATTTTATCATTACTATTTATGTATGCTGTTTTTTCCTGGACTCTAAATTTTTGTGCTTCAAGGACCATATCTTTCTTATTTTTCCATCCGCAGACTTGGCCTCAGTATAGGACACATAGCAGATATTATATAAATTGAATCAGTGACAGGATACTTACATATTAAAATGATTTTATATCAGTGCCAACATAATGATTAATTCAAATAATGTTTAGTGGGAAGAAGTAAACAGTGTTGTATCTCAGTGAACACATACATTTGTTTGGTTTCTTCAGGCTTCCTTCACAGCTTACTTATCCTCATGCTAGCAGAGTATCATGGCTTGACCATGGTTGTGTGGGCTATGCATTGCCATTGACGCCAGAATGAAAACCAAAGTCGGTGTGTGTCTGAGATAAAATTATTAAATTGTTGATAAATTAAAGCACAATTTTAAGAAGGCACAAAGATGAATATGAAACGGATGAATGACACATGACTTAACTTTTTCTTCAGTTGAAAAACAATAAGGTATACAAGAAATATGTGAAAATATTTTCCCTGTGGATAATAATAGAAATTATAAATCTATACTCAGATATCTATGATAGAATAAGAATATATATACATTGAATAAAAACGTCTATTTCCTCCTCAATAGTTTTTCATTGAGGTGAACCTTGAAATAGCAATCATAGATCGCCAGGTAGGATAATCCTTACCTGTTCCTCCTTTTGGAGGGTAGATTAGAACATGATGATTGGAGTTCCCATGACTCTGTGGTTAATGGCTCCACATAATCGAAACTTGGCAACACTCTGATTGCTCCAATCTGATTCTTAAATAAAAAAAAAATTTAAAAAAAAGGAAATGAAAAAGAAAAAAAGAAGTAGCAATCATAAACTTGACTTTTGTGTTCAAATTTCTAGTACTTTATTTGAGTTATTTTGAACTCTTAGGTGACCAACTTTAGATTTATTATTAATAAGTAGTATTTTTTAATGAAGCATTCTTAAATATGTTAATATAGAATCAATGTCCATTTTTTCTTGCTGTGAGCTAATTTTTTCATAAGCCTATTTATTAGGTCCCACCAGAAACATATCTTCCCATACATTTTCTCATATATATATATAAATATATATCTATATCTATATCTATCTATCTATCTATCTATCTATCTATATATATATATTAAATTTAGAATTTACAATAGATGATTTTACTGGAGTAACATTTAGTCCTGGAAAGTATTGAAAAATAAATTTTCTCTATTGGTCACGTAAAACTTTTGTCTTTAGAGCATCTGTCAAAACATTGAGGAGTAGCTGCAAGAAGCAAGGTTAACTAGGCCGAGTGCGCGCCACCTAGTGGTTATACAGATCCAGTGCAGCCTAATTTGATGGAAGGCTGTCTTCAGGCAGTGGTTCCCAACTCAGATGCCAACAGATAACATTAATGGGAGAAAAATCAATTATTGGCATATATCACATTCCGTGGTTATGGAACTGTGGTGTAAACATAAACAGGATCTAAGAAAATATATTTTAAACTCAGAATGGCCAGATAAATGCAAGCTCGGTGATAAATAATCCCAGGGAATGGCTAGTTCTGTGGCAAACCCAGCAGCTGATCGGACTCAATTGTCGTTATTCAAGAACACAAATCTAGTGTTGTCAGACCTTCCAGTTTTTCAAGAGAACCTGGACATCTGGATTTGTAGATGAAACCTAATTTCAGTATGTTGACTCATTTTTTAAAGATGCGACATGGTCCTCACTTAAATACATCTTGGGGTCACATTGGGCCATTTTGAGATCTTTCTTTCAAAAAAGGTCTTGAATTTATTAATTTTATTTCTTTCAGAGGACAGGAAACTTTTGGGTATCTTTCAGCAACATTGTGAAGTGAGACTGGAATGTGAAGTTACTGAACCATTACTAGATGGGGTCTTGTTGAAGATTATTTTTATTCACCAACAGGCCCTACCAAGATGCTGAGGTATAGCTGTAAATAGCACAAACTCTTGTCACTGGTGTCTCTCAGTGCTGTCCCTTAAATGGACCAGTCATGTGATCATGGAGCGTGACCTCTGTCTGCAGGGGTTACACACTGAGATGTTTGGATATACAGTAGCTTTCCAGTGTTTACCTTGGTTCTTGAGCTTCATGTAGAATTGAAGTTCATGATTTATATTACTTTGATGTATCTTTCTGCAGGGCAGCTTTGAGTTCTTAAAAAAGAAAGAGCACTAAATTACGGTTTGCAATATAGGAGAGAATAAAACACTGAGATAGTAGCTGTTACCTTCTTTCAACAGCATTCTTAACCTTGACCACATCTTTTCTCCATCTGCCCGGAGAAAATGAGTAAAGAGAAAAAAATAATAAGAATGATCAGGATTCAGAATCCTTTGAACTTGCTCAAAAAGTAGGAGAAGCAGAATGAAATGAAAGGCACCGCAAAAAGCCATGTGGCCTAATTCCTTGTCTCAGGCTGCCTCTGTTCATTAGCTTGAACAGTCTCATTCAAAGGCAAGCCCTAGTCCTTCCAGTTGCCCACGGGTCCCTTCAGGCCGCTCAGCTCTCTGACCTGATGTATAACCACTTTCTCACTTGTTCTTTGTGTTGCAGATCCCTGAGTCTCCCTGCTATTCCCCAGTCGCTTCACATATGACACTCCTTACACCTTTGTACTGACTGGCGTTCTCCCTGCCTGAGACAATCTACTCACAGATAACCACTTCCTCACAACCTTCCATATGTCCTTGCTAAAATGTCACTTTCTCAATGAGGTCTACCCTGATCGTCCTGTTGAGAATTGTATTCCCTACTCCCTCAACCCCCTCTACTTTGCTGTACTCTTCTTCCCCAATAAAGCTGATTACCCTTAGCATAATACATAATTTACTTATTATTTCTTCTGCTAAAGCGTAAATACTCTGAGGATAGAAACCTTTGTCTTGTTTCATTTACTGTTATTTCAGAAAACAGTTTCTGGCATAGATAGGTACTAAATATATATTTTTCTAAATGAAAGGGTGTTGAACTTCTTATTCACTTTGGTCTGGGCATACTTCCCACAGCCTTCTGTAATTGCCTATGGAAAGGTTTCTTGCAACAAATGATACCATGTGTGGGCTTATGATCTGTTTTGTCTTAATTACTAGAAATTGCAAAAATGCATGTTAAGAGGAAAGAGACATTTGTATGTTGGGTCTCCAAGATGCATGTTAAAAGTAAAAAGAAGTTTGTATGTTTGGTTTTGAGATAGAAAGCAGTCGCTTTGTGTAAATAATTTGTATAAAAAAACTATAAAGAAAAAATAATTGTCTTGAGGCAGTAAAAAGGGCAAGAATATGAGGTCAAAAGACCTACGTGGTATCCTGTTTATACCAGTTACTAGCTCTGTCACCTCTGGTTAGCTATTTATTATCTCCGAGCCTCAGTTACATTATCTTTAAAATAGGAATAATTATAGTAATAAACTCTGTCTTTTTACCTTTTATATGCATAATGATACACTTTCTTTTTGAATGCATTCTTGTTTCCTTCAACAATTAACCCAGCATATATCTAAATTTATAACCTTTTTTTTTTTCTGTTAATGTGGCAGATTCACCCGTTAGAATACAAGCTCAACATGGACATGTCTTTGTTCTTATTTTTCAATGTCATGTTCCCAACTCTAAGCACAATGTCTGACACATAACAGTTGCTCAGTAAATATGTCGTTGAATGAATAATTAAGCAAATTTAAGCCACAAAGTTCATATGGTATAATAATAGTAAATTGGCTTGTAGTTAATTATGGTACAGATGTCTATTATTATTGTTGCTATCTAAACCCTTATCTTCATCATCATCAAACATGTGTTTCTCAGGCTTTTTTAATCCACTACCAAGAGGTGATCATCTTCTTGCATTACTGCCTTTTACTTAGAAGTTTAGTGAAATAGCACAGAAAACACTTTGCTAATCTAATGATTTTGTTCTAGGTCTCTAAGCTGGCTGGTGTTTTGGTCAATCATGGTGTCAAGAAAGGTGACACCGTGGTTATCTACATGCCCATGATCCCGCAGGCGATATACACCATGCTGGCATGCGCGAGGATAGGAGCCATTCACAGTCTCATATTTGGGGGATTTGCATCCAAGGAACTAAGTAGTCGTATTGATCATGCAAAGGTAAGTGCTTTATTTGGAGAAATCAAGTAGCAGCTACATGTAGTACAGCCATACCTGTGGATACACATTTTCCTTTTTTAAAATGTGTATACCTTTTTTTGGTGCTCTCTGTATTTGGGTGTATAAGACAAGTAAAATATCTGATAACAAATTTATTATTTATTCAACATATATTTATTAGGCCTCTGCTATAAGCTTGGTACCCTTGGAACAGGATAATAAATGATACTTGTCAAATGGGTGGGACACATAACTTTTGTAATCTACATACTTCCAGGAGTGGTGGTATAGCACAGAGATTAAGAAAGGGCTTAAGGGAGGGGTGGAGTTAATGTTTAAATGAGTACTAAAATAACGAACTTGATAAAGCTGTTATGGAATATTGTTGAAATATTGAATTTAAAACATTTAACACAGTATCTGGTCTAGAGTACTCATTAAAAAAAACCAAACGCTTTAGCTGTTATTATTTTACGAACTTAAAGGAGGGATCAGCATACATTTTTCTTTATGTTGCCAGATAGTAAATATTTTAGGCATTGCAGGTTTTGTGGTTCCTGTTACAACTACTCAGCTGTGCTGCTGTAGCACCCAAGCAGCTTCAGATACTACATTGTGGCAGTGGGCTCTAGACAAAGGCCTTCCCAGACCATGTGGTCACTTCAGACAAAGACATTCCTGCACTGTATGGTCAGCAAGACTTCTGCGTTTAACATTTCTGAATTCCTACCTCACCCGGGAGCCAATCAGGGACTGGCACAAGGCTGCATGTCCTAATAAGGAACCTTAGCTGCTAACCAGGAAACCTCAGGGTGTATAGCCCCGAGTCCCGCCCGGGTCTCGGGGCTCAGCCTCTGGATGTGAATCTGCTGAGCCAGTGCCCATTAGTAAAAGTTGCTTCCCACGCCTTGGTGTCCTGTCTCTTTGTCTGGGTTCCCCGCAACAATATAAATGAAGGGCATGGCAGTGTCCCAATAAAACTTTATAGAAACATGCTGAGGGTAGCGTGTGGCTCTCAGCCATAGTTTGCAGATCCCTGATCTAAAGGAAGGAGCAATTTCTTTTAGCTGGGTGGCCACAGAAAGCTTCCTGAAGGACGTGAGATTTGAGTTAGATCTTGGCTAAGTTAGATCTTCAGCTAGTTGAAGAGAATTAGATCATGGAATCCAAAAGGAGAGAAAAAGAATATGAGTCTAGCAATAAAGGCAGTAAAATTCTTTTGGAGGCCAGTGAATAGATCCCTGTGACTGAGGAAGGGGAGAAAGTGAGCTTGCGAAGGCAGTTCGTGTCTGAACTGGATCCTGTAGACCTTGACCAAAGGTTTTGAGCAGATGAGTGTCATGCTTTAAGCAATACTAAGAGGAGGCAAAGTCTTGCAATATGATGTGAGTGGGAGAGAGGCTAGAGGCTGGAATAAAAACCTTTGGTAGGTGGTCTGTTTGTGAAGCAATGGGCAGGAGGAGTATAATAGCAGTGGGAAGATAAAGGAAGGAAGGTCTATGCAAGAGTAAGAGATAATTGACCTTTAGAGTTTTACAAGCTCAAGATGAGACATTCTTAACAAAGAAGAGAACTAATATGTATGGAAGGCCCCCTGAGTGCCAGGCATTGACTGAGGTTTTGCATGTCTGACTTCATCTGGAATAGATCAGTTTTTAGAACTCTAAGCTGGTGTGTAGACTAACTGGCTGGATTTTTTTTTCTCTCTTTCTTTTTAAAATATATTGAGTTAGTGCTTATGAAGGGAAGTCTAAGGGAGATATCAGTCAGTCATTGACCTGCAAATCAGTGGGCAGCTGGGGACTTGTCTGAGAAAGCTATAGACAGCAGTTTTTTAGCTACAGAAATCCTTAGCACCGTTTAGATAAAGGTGTGAGATGTAATATTTCCTTTTTGTAAAATTTTATACAATATGGGGAATTTGAGATATATAAAAAATAAGCATCTTGGGCGGCCGGATGTCTCAGTTGGTTAGAGCGCATGCTCTTAACAACAAGGCTGCCGGTTGGACTCCTGCATGGTATGGTGGACTGCCCCCGGCCC